TCTTCTTCTTCTTCTTCTTCTTCTTCTTCTTCTTCTTCTTCTTCTTCTTCTTCTTCTTCTTCTCTCTCTCTCCCTGTCTCCCTCTCTCTCTTTCTCTCTCTTTCTCTCTCTCTCTCTCTTTCTCTTCTCTCTGTCATATTTACCTCAAAGGTATAGCAAAAACCAAACATACAAACAATTCCCCCCAGCACCTGGGGTTCATAATCATGCCTCACCATCTCAGTTCTCTGCCAAGGAGTGGGGCATTAGGTTTACAGCTTAACTCAATTCCTAAATAGCACAAATTGCCAAGTTACAAGTTCAATGTTTGGCCCCACTCCCTCACCCCCACCCCCCAAGTTCATGTCTTGGCACCCTGGCTTCTCAGGGCTTCCCTCTTGGGCTGGCAGCCACATCCTGCCTGGAATCCTGTCGCTAGGGTTGCCAAGGCTGAAACTGCCAAGCTCCCAGGTCTGGGGCTTCCACTCCCTGCACCTAGAACTGAAAAGAACAAACAAAAGAGCCCAAAACCTCAAGCCTGATTCTTGAGGCCACATGGCCTAACGGAAGAGGGAGAAGGTAGTCCTTTCCAGCTTAGTACATGGCGCCCATGCTTCAGGTGGGTGAGATCTTCACCCATTGGAAACAGCTGGAAAAGAGAGGAGGGAGTCATCATTTTAATAGGGGAGCTAGTAAGGACTGTGGCATGGTCTGGAAATGGTCTGAAAGTGGTCTGAAGGCCTGGTTCCAGGAAAGATAAATAAAAATTCACTCATCAGAGAACAGGGTGGCTCCAGGCTTCCTGTGGGAAGGAGGTAGGAGTGATGACTGGGATGGAAGCAGCATGCTATAGAGATGCACATAGTTTTATGTGTGTGTTTCTTATTAGAGATATTCCAAGTTTTAAAGGTCTAAAGAGTAGCCTCAACCCATTATAGTCAGCAAACATTTATTAAGTGCTCTTCAAGTGCAGTCTCTGTGGTGAAAAATATTATGCCAGTGGCCTTTTTTGGGTTTAGCTAACTGATATTTTTGGAAAGCATTTCTATGAAGGCCTTTTCCATTTACAGGCTTGGCCTAGTGGAAAGTCCATTGAAGTAGAAATTATAAGTCCTGTGTTCTAGTTCCAACTCTGTCACTAATTAGTTGTGTAATTATGGGCAATTCACTCACCTCCCTCGACCCCAGGGTCCTTCTCTGTAAAACGATGGACCTCTCTAAGGAGTTTTCTGCTCAGAGACCTGTATTTCAGCAATTTCTCTTTTACCTAGAACTGAAACAGCCAGAAAACAAAGATAATGACATTTTCCTTCATAGACTGGCCCAGTGGTTAATTGATGCTCATAAGGATAATCCTGAGGCACTGTAATATCTTTATGTACCTTCTGAATCTTCTGTGAAAAGTCAAATTAGGTTCTCAATGGTCTTAGTTATCCTAATACCTACTCAGTATCTGGATTCCCAAATTAGACTTATTGGACTAACAGAATTTTGTAGCTAAAAGGGACCTTAGAATCAACCAGTCTTATGACAATCCAGATTTCACTTTGGAAAGCAAGCTGTTATTAAAATTTGCAATGTCCATCTTCAAAAACTTTTATCCCCTTTCCTACTCTAAAAGACCAACTAATTCCCTTTTGGAAAACAGATTTTTTTTTCTTTCGCAGGCCCCAAAATACTTTCACATAGTATGATGAAAAAGTAAGCATCCTAATAATAGCTAGCATTAGGTAACCCTTTAAGGTTTGCAAAGCATTTTGTTTATCACCTTTGATCCTCACAATAATCCTGGAAAGTAGGTGCTATCATTATTCCTATTTTACAAATGAGGAAGCTGAGGCAAACAGCAGTTAAGTGACTTGCCCTGGGTCATACAGCTAATAAGTGTCTGGGGCAGGAATCCTACTCAGATCTTCCTAGCCCAACACTAGTCCAACACTCAATACAATGTGCTATCAAGCAGCTAGGATGAAGAAACCATTAACTGTCTAGTAAATATTTCTCTGCCAGCAAGAAATACCTTGACTTTGGTAAGATTAAGAAATGTCTTGTAAAAGACTCATATCAAAAATAGCCTCTGGAAAACAATGTATAGGATTCATTATATGGGTTTTC